CATATTGATTGCCATATTATTGTTCTTTCTGGATGCTCTTAGGATGTTCTCTTTAGTCCTGGTGTTCTGGAAGTTCATGATGGGGCCTTATAGGGTGTGTGTGTGTGTGTGTGTGTGTGTGTGTGTGTGTGTGTGTGTGTAAACTGTGCTTAACACCATGCGCCCTTCTGGTCTGGAGACTGTCCTTTGTTTCTGATAAATTGCATATTAATTTTTAATAATTTCCTCCCCTTCATTTTCATTTTTCTTTTACTCCTGTCATTATGATTTTGGATCTCCTGAATTTGGATCTTTTCTCTCCCCAACTTTCTCTTGTCATTATGATGTCCTTACTAAGGGATTTCCTTAACTTTATTTTACACCCCTTGTGCCACATCTGTTAACTACTCTCATATCTTTTATTCCAAGAGCACAGTTTTAGTTAGTCTGAATGTCCCTTTTGGTAGTATTCTATTCTTTTTTCTTGTATATAACATATCCTCTTGTCTCACACCTTTCCCTCTGCTACCTGAATTGTCTTTGTTTCTCTGATTCCTTTTGTGTGTGTGTGTTGCTATTTTGGCTTCTGTCCTTAATGCTGGAAGCTTTGGAGGATGGATCTTGTTGATTGGTGAGTTTCATTGCATGAGTCATCTCTTAATCCTCATTTTCATTAGGTAATCCCCAGAAACTGGAATCAGGAGATCTTTCTAGGACCATTCAGAGTATTGAGAGAAGAATCCTATCTTTTTCTGATAGACTAGGAGGGAAGGTGGTATGGGGGAAAGGAGGAGAATTTAAGCTTGGCCACTGGTGTTCTGGAAATAAAAAAGGGGAAGGAAGGGGCTGAGAGGCCCAAGTTCATTGTGTAATGCTCTCCTCTGCTTTCCATTATGCTTCGTCTCCCCAAGACTGAAACTGCCTTAGTTGAATTTCTCTGGAGAACAAGCCTCACTCTCCTATAGCGAAGAATACAGTTTAGAGGAAGATACTTGGGCTCCAGCTGCTCTTGCTTTATTCAGTCTTTCAAACAATCCTTATTTTCAATCCCACAGCTTATCCCTGCCTTCATTGGCACCTGGAGTCTGCAATTGCTGAGCCTCTCAAGAGTGTTGTGGGCCTTGTTGGCTAATCTCTAAGTGTCCCCTGCCTCCACCAAGACATTTAGAGTTCAGTTACCCTTCTTCAGCTCTGCCAGTTTACTTACCAATCCTCCACCTGCTTTCCATCTTGCAAAAGATTTTGAAATCTCTTGTCCACTGTTGTCTTTTTTGTATCTGTCTTTGTCATTGTGGGTTATTACCTATTTTTATTTCTTTATTGTCATTTTGGTAGGAAAGGAAGATAAGTGTTTGTGATCGATCCATCATGATTTACTGCAACTCTATCCACTTCCCAAGAGCGAAGAATTCTTCCAAGATGCATTGGCTAGTTTTATCCTTTTTAATTGAAAGATTCTTTGTTCTTTTCTCCCTTGCTCCTTTTGGGGTGGTTTCCATATCCATGGAGGCCCTTAAGACAGAACCAAAAAGAAAAACTTGGAATATTATACCACATTAGCTCAACTCTTCTCTGAGGCCTGGCTCTGGGACTTTGGAAAGATTAAATCTTGCAAACATTTTCCCTCAAAAAGATTTTATATGTCAGTTCTGAGCTGTGTACTCTTTCATTTACAGCTTTTGGTCCTTCCTGAATATCATTTTATTTGGGAATATCCTTCCTAAATATCCTTTGAAATGGGTAAATAACTATGTTGAGTCTGACATATCATAAGTTTGGCAGGGAAGAAGGCTGGGGCCCTAGGGGTAACAGGTAAGCATGAGTAAATGTCAGACATATTGGTAATAAAGTCTGATAATAGGACCTCAAATGGTGATTTCCAGAAACTCCTGTAAGTTCCAATGCCATCCTCCAGGGAAAATGCAGATTCGGGCATGAGGACTCAATTACATCAGAGGAACTTCAGGGGGACCTTTCTAAGGCAGTAACATTTGGCTTGAGACTTTCCAGACAAAAGGACCAGAAGGTGCAAATGCCTTTCATTTCTGGGAACAATCTTGGTATCCTCAGAGAACAAGAAGGCTAGCTAGTGTGCTTGGAACATGGTGAACTGGTAGAGAGTTTGGCGAGATTACATAGGGTCTTATAAGCTTTGATATGGAGTTTAGCTTGTGTTCTAAGTGGATTGAGATGCTATTAGAGAGTTGTAAGCAAGAATGTCATTGACGTGATCTCTGTTTTAGAAAGACCATTCTGGTGGAGGATGGCCTGAAGCAAGGTAAGGGTAGAAGCAGCCAAGACCAAATACAAAGCTATTGCTATAATCCAAGAGAGATGGTCACTTGGAATTAGTGGATAGTAGAGGAGATGGAGAAAAAGAGATTTGTGATAGTCTATGGGGTATAATCTCATCTGTTTGGTAGTCTTTAGATTGGTTCCAAAATTACTTAAATATTACACTTCTGAATCCTCTAGGATTAATTTAAGTAAGTGCCTCCAGTTGTAATTGATATAATGAGGATTTACTGACAGTTTAATTCTGTACTATAGGAACAGATAGAGAAACTTATTTCATTGGTGATCTCATCCAATCTCATAGTCTGGTGGCTTTAAACACCATCTCTAATGCTAATGACTCCCACATTTCCATCTTCAACTTGAACCTCTTCCCTGAACTCCAAACTCATGTACCCTTCTGCTCATTTCCAATCAAAATATAACATATCCAAAACCAAACCCCTGATCTGTTCTCCCAATCTGTAGCCCCTGAAATCTTTCCTATCTCAGTTAGGGCAGCTCTGTTTTTCCAGTTGCTCAAGCAAAACCCTTGGAGTTGTCCTGAATCCATTCTCTCCATCCATATCTCTTCTCCTCTTCTCTCCTCCTCCTCCTCCTTCTCCTTCTTCTCTCTCCCTCTCTCTCTCTCTCTCTCACCCCCTCCCTCCCTCCCTCTCTTTCTACACACACACACACACACACACACACACACACACACACACACTACAATCCTTCAGGAATCCTACACTCAAAATATATTCAGAATTGACCACTCCTCATTGCCCACCACTGCCACCAGCGTCATCTAAGATGCCATTCTCTCTCATCTGGATTACTGCAAAGGACTGCTAATTGCCCTTGCCATTTTGGCCTTGCCCCTACATCTTGTTCTCAATATATCAGCCAGAGTGATCTTTAGATAATATAACTTAGATCCCATTACAGCCCTGTACAATGTGCTTCAGTGGCTCTTAGTTTTCCTCAGTATGAGAGTCAGAGGCCCTCCATGATTTCATTCTCTGACCTCAGCTCCTACTCAGAGTATTAGGGAATACTTTTCTTCAAAGGCTCCTTGCTAAAGGAAAGTTTCTTATAAAACATCTTTAATTGATTGAGTTTAGTTCTCCCAAAACACATACAAAATAAAAGACATAATGGTCCTGCATTTTGGCTACAGATATTTCCATAAACAGAGCATGTTCTTTCAAGGAGTTCAAATGAAAAGTGAGCCAAAATTAAGAGGCTAGGCAGTGGTGGGGGGCAGCATATTGGAGTTGTATCCCAGAATCCTTGGCCAAAGAAGATGTGCACAGAAGATTACTGAATTCCTTTCCCTTCGTCTGATCATTATGTTTATTTTGTTTAGATCGATGAGTCTCTGTTACTTCATCCTGTAACATTTCATTTATTGCTGCTAATTTTTATTAGCTTATAAATATGAGGTATTATTTTCTTAATATTTTGAGAATAAAGAGAGAAAAAAGCCTTTTGACTGATTATGAGTATATTGTTTTCCTACTTTTATCATCACTGAGTTTGCTTATAACTATCCTGCATTCATCCTTGTAGTAGTAACTTGTGCACCTCATGTGCTGTTTGTGTTGGAGGTTCTGAGAGAAAGGCAGGAGCCTGGGGCAGAGTGCATGGAACAACGCCTTACTGACCACCTTTGTCTTTTCCTTCAAAAGAGTGTGTTACATGACCACTATATATTTAGCCTTAAAAATTGGCAGGATGTGGTCAAATTCAGAATAAGTAGCACTGAGGTATTACACAAAGAAGTATTTTGTGTGCTTAGGTCATTATAGCAATTGTGTTGACATTACTGGGTCTTACTGGCCAAAACTCTCTTATAGTTAAGAGGGAATTTATGCCAATGTCCATAATTAGGAAATAGTAGTCAAACAGATTGATTATTTTTGACCTATAGTTTTATGGTGCAAGATAATCATTTGTTTCTTTGTAATGAAAATGGGCTAATTTTTTCTGAGTATAAATTTAAAGCCATTCAGATGATAGAGGAAAGTCTAAAGAAAAAGCAACAATACAATCTCTCTTCCCAGAGATCGCTATTCTTAATACTTCAGTGTATTGTTACTAGACTTTTTTCTATGCCTTTTTATATAAGTATAAACCTAAAGTGAGATCATAACTCTACATGCTATTTTATAACCTCCTTTCCACTCAACAGTATATCATGAACATACATTTCCATGACAGCATATATAGATTAAATAACCCCTTTTAATGTCTACATAATAAATGATAAAGATGTCTTTTATTTTTCCTAAAAATATATTAGATAAAATGAATCTAGGCTTCCCTTAAAGATTTAAAAGGCATGCAATTTAAGAAATATAAGGACATTTTATTTTACTGACATATAGTATCAACCATATTAAACTAAAAGTCCTTCAAATATTGTTAACAAAATATAGCAATGGTCTTAGTTACTGAATAAACTAATTTGTTTTGGGGGCAACAGTAACAGATATTTATTGAGCACCTACTAAGTGCCAGCGTTGATCTAGGTGCTGGGGATTCTTTGGTGAATTAGATGTGTGGGATCTCTGCTTGCAAAGAATTTACATCCTGAAAGGTTGGAAACAGATAAAAACTAATAATAAATAAGAAAAATACCAGATATTGAAGCATATTATGTTTTCATGGTAGCATTTAAGCTGACATTTCAGTCCTGATTTCTGCAGATTGAGTCAAATAATATACTATAATTATATTTTCAGGTTTGAAGACAGTGAAGAACAAATCAATTATGAGTCATTTTTCTGTGCCCTGAACTGGAGAATAAATCCAGTGCCCGAACTGGTAGAAACGTCGCCTTTGAAAGAGGTAAAATTAACACCTATTTAAAAAACCAGTGTGGAACCTCCTTTGCATTTTTAATATATTTTATCTTAACGTTATTTTTCCATGTAAAATATTACCATCAGTGCTTTTGCAAAGAGTACTTAAGTATTTCTGGATATTTGTGTTAAAGGCGAATTCACTTTCCATGCTGAGCGAACATCTGTTCTATAAGAGCTTGACTTTTCTTATGCAGCTGAATTTTTTTTAACCTTAGTCACATCCAATTATATGGAAGATAGGATAATAGGTTACAGTTATAAATAGATATAAACACTGTTATCAAGGGATTCTGGTAACATCATCATGAGCCACAAGAGCAAATTTCAAATGGTGAATATGTCAGGAATCCCCAGTGTATCTGTGGCTGTGCACACAGGTTTGCTTTAGGTCAAACAATACAGTATGGGGATGCAAATTTCACAGTGGAGCCAAATTTAAAATAAAAAAAAAGTATAGAAAAATGCTTGGTTAGGGAAAACAAAGTTCATGTGATCAGATGGTGCTCTCAACATTGTGGAATTGTCTGAATTCTCTAAGATCTCTGGACCAATTGTCTTTAAGGAGTGAGTGAGTGGGTGGGTGGTGGTTTGTTTATATTTTAACATGCTCCAGAAATTGATTTTCTTGGGAAAGTCCCTTGATAAAGCAAATGTCATGTGGTTGATACTCCCAGAAAAGAGGCATTTATTCCTTCCAGTCTCTGCTGACCAGCTCATTCTGGCCCAAACTGGTCTGGTGTCCCTGGGGAGTTCCCTCAGGCATGCAGCTATTCTGGAGTATCAGGCAGCTTTAGAACTTCCAGATGGTTGAGAGACAGTGGTGCCCTTTGGAGTCAAACAGAGCGGGCATTGAATTCTGGCTTGGTCACTTACTTAACTCCTTCACTTATAAATTTGATTCTCAGACAAATCATGATTAAGTAGCCACTCTCAGCAGGTTCTGTGCTCCATGCTAGAGTCCAGAAACAAAGGTCATTATTGCTACCTTTGAGGGACCCATTGCTGATGGGGGAGTCAATGCACAGTATGGCCTGATAACAGCCTGCATAGGATGTAATGAGATGAGGGAGAAGATGCTTATAAATCAGGCTTGGCGGGGCAGGGCAGGAAGTCTTCTCAGGGGAGGTGATACTTGAAATTTCAATGATGAACAGTAAGAGTTAACAAGTTAGGAAAGTGGAATGGTATGGAAAAGGCATTCCCAACAGAGGTTCTGGGACATGTGACAGCATGGCGCTTATGCAGAACGAGAATGAATTGGTGTGGCTGGAATGAAGGCACTACGTGGAGAAGGATGAGGCTGGAGATGAACCTGCAAGAGTGAGGTTTAAATATTGTCCTGCAAGGTCTGGAGATCACAGACAAATTCCAAGGAAGAAAGCGACATGATCAGATGTACCCTTTAAAGGGAGCTTGGATGGTAGGTAGATTGGAGAGAAAGGATGGAGACAGGTAGACCCAATTAGGAGGCTCATGACATTCCATCATCATCATAATAACAGCAAACTCTTAAAGCATTTACTGTGTGCCAAGCACTGTTCTAAGACCTCAAAATCTATTAGCTCATTTAACCCTCATAGCAACCCTATGAGATAGGTACTTTTATTATTCCCATTTGAGAGATGAGGAAGTTAGAGAAACAGCAAAGGTCTGGTAGTGTCAGAAGTTTAACTCAGATCTGGTTTACTGCAAAGAATAAAAAAAGAAAATATTTTTCATGCAATTATTATTGAAAATACTGGATTTAATTAAATAAAATCCAAGATACCATCACAAAAACATATCAATACTGTCATTTTTTTCACTTTTGAAGTTAATTTTCATTTTTCTTAAAGTAACATATAGTTCAGAAGTCAAATAGTGGTGAAAAGGTAAGGAAAAAAGGGCTCCAACACTACCCTCTTCCCACCACACTCCTATCCCACCTTACTTCTTCACAAGTGGCCACATTCACTTGTTTGAGTTGTTTCTGCTAGTAATTACTTCCATATTTCTTATTTTTTTTAGTCTTTAAAATTTTTTTTATTAAATTTATTGGGGTGACATTGGTTAGTAAAATTATGTAGGTTTCAGGTGTACAATTCTATATATCACATTGTGTGTTTACCGCCCAGAGTCAGTTCTCTTTCCATCACCATATATTTGATCCCCTTTACCCTCTTCTACCACCCTCACTACGCCCTTACCCTTTGGTAACCACTAAACTGTTGTCTGTATCTATGAGCTTTGTTTCTTCATTTGTTTTTCTTATTCTTTTGTTGTTTTCAGTTTTATATCCCACATATCAGTGAAATCATTTGGTTCTCAACTTTTTCTGTCTGACTGATTTCACTTAACATTATAGTCTCAAGATCCATCCATGTTGTTGCAAATGGTAGTATTTCATCTTTTCTTATGACCAAGTAATATTCCATTGTGTATATATACCACACCTTCTTTATTCAATCATCTATAGAAGGACACTTGGGTTGTTTCCGTGTCTTGGCAACCATGAATAATGCTGCAATGAACATAGGGGTGCATATGTCTTTACAGATAAATGTTTTCAGATATTTTGGGTAGATACCCAGGAGAGGGATTGCTGGGTCATATGGTAATTCTATTCTTAATTTATTGAGGAAACTCTATACTGTTTTCAGTAGTGGCTGTGCCAATTTACATTCCCACCAGCAGTGTATGACGGTTCTTTATTTTCCATAGCCTCTCCAACACTTGTTATTACTTGTCTTGTTGATAATTTTTCGTATATCTGTTTGCCATTTGTTTTCTTGGGAAAAGCATCTGTCTGTTCTGGTCCTCTACCCATTTTTTAATTGGATTATTTGGGGGTTTTTTTGTTGTTGAATTGTATGGGTTCTTTATATATTTTGGATATTAGCCTCTTATTGGCAGTGCTGTTTGCAAATATCTTCTCCCATTTGGTTGGTTGTCTCTTTATTTTGTCAGTGGTTTCTTTTGCTGTGCAGAAGCTTTTTAATTTGATATAGGCCCATTCATTTATTTTTGCTTTTACTTCCCTTGCCTTTGAGGTCAAATTCATAAAATCTTCTCTGAACCCAAAGTCCATAGGTTTAATACTTATGCTGTCTTCTATGCAATTTATTGTTTCAGATCTTATATTTAGGTCTTTGATCCATTTTAAGTTAATTTTGGTATATGGTGGCAGATTCATTCTTTTTCACATGGCTTTCAAATTTTCCCAGATGACATGATTCTTTATATAGAAAACCCTAAAAACTCCACCAAAAGCTATTAGAAACAATAAACAAATACAGAAAAGTTGCAGGATACAAAATCAGTGTACATAATCCATTGCATTTCTATATACTAACAATGAAATTTCAGAAAAAGAAATGAAAAAAAAAACAATTCCTTTTGAAATTGCAACAAAAAGAATAAAATACCTAGTAATAAACTTAACAAAGGAGGTGAAGGACCTATCCAATTAAAACTATAAGACTTTATTCAAAGGAATTGAAGAAGATACAAAGAAATGGAAAGATATTCCGAGTTCATGGATTGGAAGAATCAACACAGATAAAATGGCCATATTGACCAAAGCAATATACAGATTTAATGCAATCCCCATCAAAATCCCAATGGCAGTTTTTCAAGAAATAGAACAAAAAAAATCATCAGATTTGTATGGAATCACAAAAAACCCAAATAGCCAAAGCAATTCTGAGAAAAAAGAACAAAGCTGGAAGCATCACACTCCCTGACTTCAGCTTGTACTACAAGGCGACAATAATCAAAACAGCATGGTATTGGCAGGAAAACAGACACACAGACCAATGGAACAGAATTGAGAACCCAGAAATAAACCCACATATATATGGTTAGATAATTTTCGACAAAGAACCCAAAAACATACAGTGGAGAAAAGATAGCCTTTTCAATAAATAGTGGTCAATATGGTCATTTGGCAACCTTTAATTCTTATCTATGTAAATATTTAATTTTTACATATAAAAAGAGAAATGATAAATGGAATTTATATTCAACTTTTTCATTTATTGTTATAGTATTCTGCGCTGGAAAGTATCCATTTGTCCCACTAGGACTTTTCTCCAGCCTCATCTACCTTGCTCTGACTTCTGTGGATTGTATCAGTGGGGCCCTGAGCCCTCGGGCTTCTAGTTGGGCTGGCCAATGGGATGCCGTAGCACAAGAGTGGAGGGTGGGAAGAAGGAGAAATCATCTTACTCCCTGCCAGTCACAATAGATTAACTGCCTCCTCCTACCAGGATCCACAGCACAACCTTATCTGGAGATTCTCTCCATATAGCTGCCCACTCCAAGTTCTGGTTACTAACCCCGCCCCCCCACCCCTTCAGCCCCAGGTGGTAGTAATGACTCCTTGCTCCTATAATCCCTGAGGGACTGGAGGATCCCTTGTTGGTTTTCCTAAACACTTTCTGCAACTTAGTCAATAGTCATTCTATTAAACTCTTCTCAACTTACATAGTTTGTATATGTCCTCTGCTTTCCATGGGATCCTGAATGCTACATGTCCTTATTTTTAACAATTATAGTTAACAGTTGCCTTTGTTGTTCTTTTATGTACTTTCTACTTTTCTCCTTTTTCTTTCCACCTGATCTGCCACCCAAATGTTTACCTGTATGTTGGAGGTTTCATCATTTATTGTACAAAAATATAATTATACTGTATGCATTTATCTGTAGTGTGTTTTTCTTACTGAATAGTAAATCATGGTAAATTTCTCTAGTTTAATATGTATAGACTTAAGCCATTCTTTAATAGATGTAGTGGATGTAGAATAATGTATTCACCCAATTCTATTTGACAGTCATTCAAGTTGTTTTTACATTTTTGCCTCTGAAAATACGTGGTATCTTACTACTTTAATTTTTATTTTCCTGATGACTGTAGAGTTTGAATTAAATTTAATGATCTTTTGATACTACAACCCACAGTAAGGAAGACATTTTTTCATAGTAACACAGCATGTACATATCAAT